TCCTGGTGTTGGATATAGAGACGTACCCTGGTCCTTTGGGATCGAGGTGTTGGATATGGGGACCCATCCTGATCCTTTGGGATCGAGGTGTTGGATATGGGATCTACCCTGGTCCTTTGGGATTGAGGTGTCCAGATATGGGGTCCCACTCTAATCCTTTGGGATTGAGGCAATCCATCCTGGTGTTGGATATAGGGACCCATCCTGGTCCTTTGGGATTGAGGTGATCCATCCTGTTTTTTTGGGATTGGGGTGTCCAGATATAGGAACTCATTCTGGTCCACTGGGATCGAGGTGATCCATCCTACTTTTTTGGGATTGGGGTGTCCAGACTCATTCTGGTCCATTGGGATCAAGGTGTTGGATATGGGGACCCATCCTGATCCTTTGTGATGGAAGTGTCTGGATATGGGGTCCCACTCTAATCCTTTGGGATTGATGCAGTCCATCCTGGTGTTGGATATAGGGACCTACCCTGGTCCTTTGGGATCAAGGTGTTGGACATGGGGACCCACCCTGGTCCACTGGGATCGAGGTGATTCATCCTGTTTTTTTGGGATTGGGGTATCCAGATATAGGAACTCATTCTGGTCCATTGGGATCGAGGTGTTGGATATGGGGACCCATCCTGGTCCATTGGGATGGAAGTGTCTGGATATAGGGACCAATCCTGCTCTTTCTGGATCGAGGTGATCCATCCCAGTCTTTTAGGATCAAGGTGTCCGGATATGGGATCTCACCCTGATCGTTTGGGATAGAGGAATCTGGGGACAGTGGGTGACCCACAGGGGGACACAGCTTTTTGGGGACAGGAACCCATCCCCAGGATGAACCCAAATGTCCGGGAATGGTGACCCAGGAACCCAATGTCCCGGCACAGCGACCCATCCTGGTGCCGTGGGGACCCTATTGGGATTGTCACATAGGGGACCCTATGATCCAGAGACGTGGCCCACGAGGGACACAGATACTTGGGGACGATGCCACGGTGACCCAGAGCCGACCCAGATTTATGGGGACGGCGACCCATCCTGCTTTATGGGGGACCCAGGAACGGTGCCCCGACGTCCCCCACCCCCAACATCCCAAGAGGTGCCAGCAGTGCCCCACATCCCCCC